AATGATCTCTGTTCCAAACTTAAACAACATTGGGTGTAACTTGACATGGTGAAAAGCTGCCTATCTTTTCCTATGTTGAATGATGATGTGGAGAGCTGTTAAAACAGCCAGGTGCTGAAGAGAAAGCAACATTTGAGAGCGTTCAAGAGCATTTCAACTGCACTGGTGAAGTGACCAGATATGATGCTCAATTGGCTCCATCAACTGTATCGGCTAAATCTGACATCAGGTGCACAAAGAAAATATTGTTGTGCAAATTAAAAATATGATGACCAAAACAATGAACATATTACTTTAGTCGTCTATATACCTATATTTTATGTGCATCTGTGCAGCAGAGTAAATGTGTACAGCTTACCCAAACCACAAACTGCATTGCTTTTGATTCCAAGACAAATCTGGAGATGCTTTGGCAGAAATGGAAAATGCTCTGTTTCATCTCTTTCCCCTGCCACTTCAGCGCTTTGTTCAGTAAAATTTGATCTAATTTTCTTTCCCGTCCTTTGGTATTTCCCCACAGAAATGAAGGGATAGTGATTGCTGGGTAAGATTGGAGTGGATCTAATCTTCCACTGCTCTCAGTCTTACTCCATTTCACTGCACATCTAATTTGTCACACTGCTGATGAATATGCCACAAGTTTCATGGGAAAGAGAAGGACATAATGAATATAAAACACACTAGGAGAAGGGAGGGCGATTGCCGTACCACACTAACCACAGTGCATTGTTCATATGTCCCATCAAATTGCTGACACCATGCATGCACTATGGATACATTGCTCCCTTCCCTCACAATTTAATCAAGAAGTTGAAACAATGACAAACAATGACCCTTTTTGTGGGTCATTGTGTGTTTTACTGCATCTTGTAGGCAGAAGCTTCATGGTCATTTATGATCTTTGACTGCAGGGTTGTTCTGTTAGTCCAAGGAGAACAACATCACCAATCCAATTCCTACTTCTGAGGAATTGGCATACATTAATTGCTCATATATCACATTGCAGACAGATGTGATTTAAAGAAATGCAGGTGCAGAAGGTACATTCATTTAAAGTAGAATGTACCATAAGGGTTGTATCTTGTAGCTCAAATGAAGCACTGTTTCATTACCAGCTTTATAAAGCCTGAACATTGTACAAAAAACAGAAGCAGATGGTATGAATTAAATCTCCATAATTGTATTCTAATTTCATCATTATTCATTATTTCTCTGGTTGTGATTGTCAGGGTGGTTATACACTTGGCAGCAGTCCAAGCAACAGGCAACAACGTGAAGAGACAGGGTCAAAAATCTGTTCAAATGTTTCCTGGCAACAAGATGTTTCTCTGTGTTGAAAGCAGTAATTCCATCCAAATTGCTTTGCAAAAGTTGCCCACTACAAAGCTGCTGCTATGGAACTGTGCAAACAGACTCAGTGAGAGACAGACTGACCATATGGAAAAATTCAAAAGTGTTCCTTCTTGTCCATCATGCTTGTGCTAATTTAATCGATGAGTTAGGAGTGAATATCTCTTTAAAGAAGGCAATGATAGAATCTGTGTGCAGAGCTGCTGCATCACCTATCCATGAGACTGGAGAGCGGCTGATGAGAAATCCCTTCAGGACTCTTCTCTAAATAGGCATGAAATTATATCTGCCTCTGACTGAGATTAGCGTCCATGGAGCCTCTCGCATTCTGCACCCTCTTTTCCTCAGGCTCTTCCAACCAAACAGGCACTCTGCAGCTTCAGCTCGTTTGTGCTGAAGTTTAGGAAAGTTCATTTTCATCAGGAGGTGCTCGCTATGTCCTTCATCTTCCAATTATTCCTCCATGGGGCCTGCATGATTTGTCACACATACTGAAGTCATGTGGTTAAAGATAGCAGTGTTATGTGTAAGTGATTTGTGTTTAGTAGAGGTGCCACTTCACAATTCAGTGGAAAGACTTTGATATTTGGGAGTATATTATAAAAAAAACAATGCATTTATGAATAGTTTAATTTAGTTATAAAACTACCAAACAAAGCTGAAAGAAACAAGTCAATGTTTTAATGTAATACTGATTTATATGCTCTCATCGGGCCCTAACTGTGCTCAAGGGGAAAAGTCCTCAATCTAAGTGTATTTTACCAGTATTGAACTGCTGACAGACAAAGTAAGTGACTAGCAGATCAATATAAAATAGTGGAGCATTTAGAAGCTAAATAAATCCATTTTTTTTATCTGGAGTTGGTGGAGACCAAAAACTAAAATAGAACTAAAATAAGAGTAAAGTATAGTCCACAATCATCAGAAAGTAATGCAATATGATCTGTATTAGTTTGAGTAGTACCCTGTATATCTAAATCACAACAAGATAAAACAGATATATGAGCTTAAATAAAGAATTTGACAACATTTTAAAATTAACAATTCAACACAAAAACATGTGTTTTTGCAACGACAATGACACATTGACATTTTAGATATAGAAAATGTAGGTCCATTACTATAGTGTTCATTGTAGTATTGGACAGTTAAGAATGTATTTCAAGGACCCTATTTTTTTGTCATCAGTGCCACGTGGTGTTTGGAGACTGTTAATATGGATTTGTAAAAGGCATCTCTATGCTAGAAAGCCCCACCTGGACTGCAGAATACATGTGTAGGCTTTGAGATCACATACTCTCATGTGGAAGTCATTTTTGTCTCTCCCCAATCCCTGCTTTACTAAAAATTGTGCTTCCATTTAAGGAGCTTACAGGCCAGAGTCAGGACTCAAAATATTACTGCAAACAATTCAATATATAGATTTCAAACTTCTACATTTTATCCATCAACATATTTGTTGCTTACCTTGGGCCTGTTGGCGATGGCAGCAGGCTAAGCAAGTGAGCCCAGACCTCCTTCTCCACATCAATTTTTTGACGTTCCTACAGCAGAATCATATGATGTTTCCAGGCCAGCTGTGATACATTCCCTTCAACGATCTCTGGGTCTAATCTGGTTACTCTTCTTAGTTGAACATGCCTGAAAAACCAAGAGCAAGGTGCCCCAAAGGCATCTCTAACAGATGTATGAACCACCTCAGCTGCCTTCTGTTGAAGAGAAGGAATAGAGGATTGTATTTGTGTCACTACCCAAAGCTCATAATTATAGATGTTAATTGGAACTCTCCATTTTTCGGCTGAGAATGATCTCATCAGACTTTCAGGTGCTTCCTCACACTTAGCTGCAAACCATTTAAGTGTTGAAGTTCAGTTACAGTTTTTGGAAGCGAATGGAACCACATCATCTGCAAAAAGCAGAGTTGAATTTCTGAGGGTCCCACACTGGCTGGGTCTTAACTTCCTGTCTATGATAATCACAAAAAGAATAAATGTCAAGGTACAACCCTGGACTTTGTTTCCATATCTAATGTGTATCTTTCCAGCACCCTGGGGAAGAAGAACTGGAAGCCTGAATAGTGTGATGCTTTGATAGTTGGAACACACCCTTCAGTCCCCCTTTTTAAAAATGGGAATTAACTTGTTGGTCTGCCTTTCTAAACACACTGCCCTTGACATCAATGCGGCACTGAAGAGGCATGTCATCAACTCATCTACAACTGGCACCTCAACTTTGAAGAGATTCTTAACTACTTCAGCGACCTCGGCCAAGGATGTAGGCAGTGTTTCCCCTTTATCTTCAAACTCTTCTTCCTAATTAAAGTTCTTGCTGTTTGGGTTCAGGAGTTCCTCAATGTGCTATTTCCATTGCTACAAAATATCCCTAGTCAGGGTTAACACTTCTCCTACCTTAGGGAAGACAGCCCGAGCCAAGCCCTGGCAACAGTTTGCCAGAACTTCCTTGACACCAACCAAAAGTCCTTCTCCAGAGCCTCCCTGAATTCATTGACCACCTGTGTTTTGCTTCCACAGCCATGGAATCCACAGCTCTCTCAACCACCCAGGCCCTGCCTGATGCTTACGAAGACCCCTGGGCTAACTAAACTCAAAGTCCTCAGCGTGACGGCTTCCTTTACCACCAGTGTCCACCAATGGGTTTGGAGGTTTCTGTCACAAATTTCTGTCAAGTTCCAGCCACGACTCCTTGAAGCCACTTCAACAAATCAAGGCTTTGAACTCTGACATCAGCAAGATATTCCCAGTTCACTCCCCTTACACGTTTAGGATTACCAGGTCTGTCCAGGTGGAACATTTCCCAGGACATCAACCAGAAACTAAGAGGCCACATACTCTTAACAGCTGTTTGGTGCATATGCACAAACATTAAGCGCTTTCCTCTCCACAACTTAGAGTTGCATTGAGAATTCAAACACAACAATATTCAGCAGGGGACTTGAGTGTCCTCACACCCACTTGGCGCCTCTCAACCCAGGTAACTCCAGAAAAGGGGTTTCTGTTTAGCCCCTTTCTAGGAGTTATGTCCTAGAACCAGTGCTGTGCATTACATTTCAATCTATTAGTATAGAGTATCTTGACTTTTTTAAAAGCTTTTTCTTGAGTTTATATCCGAGTTTTAGAGATGTAGTTTTAAAACACCTTGATGCAGGCTTTTGAGAAACGATTCCTGGTCTTTGTGAAGATGACTAACCTGTGCATGATTTTATTTTTCATGTCTTTGATATGATATGCCTTGGATATAATCATTGACAGCAGTTTGTCCTCAAATCTTGATGTGGTTCGTGGTTCTTGGGGAGAATTATGACATGTTTCCATGTTGCCAAATATCTTAAGGGACAGTTATATTTTTAATGCAATACTGAAAAACCATAGTATCATATAAGCATGTCTAAACTTGAATAACCAATAAGGATCATGCCACTTTACTCAGTTTCCCCCCTTTTTCCATCAAGTAAACCATAGATGTTGGGATGTTGGGATAGAGGAATCTTTCGGAAGGTTTTAAAGGCAACAACTTGTAAAATTGATGTTGATACAACTATGGAGGTGATGATTTATTCAAATGAGTGAAACAAGAGCAAAGCAAAATATTTCATACCATATGCCAGATATGATACATATTTTATTTCTTATCAGCAAAAGACACACAATTGATGCATTTGTATCTTTCATGACTTTTCAGTACAGAGGAAAAACCCAAACATATACACAGTATGGGTATATATGTAAATGGGTATATTTTAAAGTGCAAGTGATTCACAAGGGTCAATCATGCGTTACATAGCATCAAGAACTTTATTGTTATCTTCTTAAATCCTTTTTGAATCTGATAGTAAAATAACTGTCACTTATATATTTATATATATATATATATATATGAATACAAAATAAACTTAAAGTCACTGAAGCTTTTTGATTTTGTTTAAGCACAACATTTATCAATATATATATATATATATTTCAAGTCTTGAGAGGAAAGAGTACCATGAAGTGCCAGAAGTGAGGGTGTTGACAGGAGAAATTGTTTCACAAAAGTCACCAAAGGTCGATTTAATAATGCTCCAGTACCACCTTAAGCACCCCTAAACTAAACAGAAAGTAACTCAATTCATTCACTTTTTTTTTTCTCCTAACAGCCTTCATGTGTGGACTGACTTGGGCATGTTCTCGTCGAAACAGACATTCAGTATACAGGTACATTCTCTGAAATTACCATTACACTTGACTTGGTGAGGAAACAGTCAATTTGCCCTTGCCAAATATATTTGACACAAAGAATGTTCATAGAAAATAAATATGAAGACATGGAGAGACATAAAAAAAAGTAGATGTGGACTGATGCTGAGCTCACTGTGTGCTGACTGATCAGAGTACCTCCAGGCATCTGGACCAGCATCACACAGGGAAGTAACAGTTTAGCAGCAGCTGTTGGGTTTTGGATTTACCCATGGACAACAAAGATACAGACATTATGTATCAATAGTACATGAAGAAGCCCTGACCCTTCAGGTTGCAAAATATTTCAGACAAATTTCTATTCACTTGGTAAATAAAACATGTCTGGATTGCACATGTGCTGAATGTTTCAATGCCCTTTTAGTGGTTAAGATGCAAAGTGCATATTGAACATAAAATAGTAAGCTAGGATATTTTACAGTGTGACTATAGCTCTTAAACTCTCATGTGATTCCTTCAGAACTGCTGCCCTTTCGCATTAAAAGACACTAAATAAATGATCATATTCACAGAACAAAAAGAAACACCGGTTTACAAAAAAAAAAAAAACAGAAATCAAAAGAGATGAGCTTGGCCTTCACACTGTGAGTGCAGTGTGAAAGCAAACATGCTGCTTTATTAACACAGCATTAGCTGGCACTGAATGAAATAAAGATCAATTTCTGTGTTGCAGTGAATCCTCCATAAATGAGATTATTGCATAGTTTGGAATTCTTAACATAGCTATTGGATAGACACTGACATCTCTTTTTTTCTGGTCTCTGCTCTCTTATAACTTATATTTCATCAAACAGGACTGGGTTCAATTCATTTCAAGGAGTCAGAGTAAAAACTGCAACAATAACCCAAACTAGGCAAGCAGAACCTCTTACAATTGTTCAATAACATATTTCTTAAGGTAGCTGAATAGGTTCCAATATTTAAAAAAACATGTTTTCTGAGTCAAACTTATTGATAGTGAGTTGAACCCAGCCCTGTCCACTTAATCTCTAAATTGCATTTTCGATGTGTGCAAATATTTCCACATTACTCCAAAACTCACTTAGCCCACTGATTCTTTAATTGAACACCAGCATCTAACAGGTATATATAAATCAAACACCAGCATGAAGACCCTTCTCAGTGACCACTGCTCTCCATCGATCTACTAATTGAGTGATTGTCTTGATCATCATACACCATATAACATACAGTCTTGTAAGTAAATATGATCAAATTTCATGTGTTGTACTTTGGAGAGCTCACTGCCTAATGGAAGAGGTCTACTTGGACTTCTTGGTGATGTTGATGTGTGGTTACAAATATTTAGGGATGCACCTACATGATACTAATATTGAGTATCTGTCCACCACAGACTCAAACCGCTTGATCATGCATTGTGACAATTAAGATGATCTAATCAATTCATTTTTATGTTAACGTCTTAGCCTGATTCTGTTTTGCTCCACCAATAAGTTTTACAGCTACCTGCTTTATCTTCCAAGATACAGTTTCAATGGTTGGCAGTAGCACTAACAAATATATAACGCAACAAACTGCAATTTAAACACAACATTGGCTCAGCACTTTGTTTTTGCCAAAACCTAAAGTTGGGGGGGGAGTTGTTTTGGTGCATGCAATGTTATAGTGTAGCTAAATATATTAAGGTGGGCTTTTACCTGCTGAGATATCCTGAGTGTCATTGTCAATATATTCACCTAATCCATCAATGAAGCTCAAACTAAATGAAATCCCTGATAGTGCATCAAGAGTCTGGTCAGTGACAGCTGTCTGTAAATAACTTCACACATATTGTGAGCTTTTTCATTCCGGCTTGTGCTGCTTGTCTGTAGCTAAATAACAGTGCAAACATGTGGACCTGAGATATACTGGGTTCTATAGAGTAAATATAATGTTGAAAATTCCACACATTTTCCTTTGTTAGTTTTTCTTCCTCTGGCTGTCTTTAGGTGGGAACACTAATGTTGTCGTTGTGTTTTTTGCATTGATTCTATCTCTTTATGTAATCTGGGCAATCAGAATTTACACATCAAAAGCATTAAGGGATAGCAGCAAATAAGTAAAAGATAAAGAAAACTGTCTAGGGGGGTACTTGATTCTGGTGTTTGTTTAACTGTGATCATACCTGGTAAATCCTCAGTTACTAGCACAAAACCTCCAGTACTTAACAGGCTCATCTAGCAGCTGCATAAAAAACATTTTTTTCCCCCAACCAGAAAATGTGTCAAAATGAAGCTATTGTAATGTTGTGGTCCCTTGTAACACCAGGAAGAAGATCACCTGACTTGAATGACCAACCTTGTTCCCCTATGGCCAGCACAGAGTCATGACATGGGTCCCATTCAGTCACTGAGTGTCAGCTCACTTTTTTTTTTTTGGCATAGAGCTCATGTTCAAATAGGAGCCATGTCTGAACTTGTTTTTAAACCTGTAAACTAATTAAAACCACAATAAAATGCATTAAAAAAAACAAACATTAAATAATATAGTAGGAAAATAAATATCATTCCAACAAGGCTTTTTTTAAATAGTCATTCTTAATCTCGAAGTCAGTGTGTATGTCATAAATTCACCTCAGAGAGCTGTGACCATCGGTCCAAGAAGATGGCTGCTCTCAGTCTCATGGGTGAATGTGCCTATCAGCTCCTGCACATACACTACTGCTTCACGCTCAGTTAAAAACACATATAAAGATTCCATTAAACATGGTCCCACGTATACTTAAGAGCTCAACAGTCATATGCATTACAAGTGTCTGGATACAAGATATGTAAAATGGACTTTTTTCTGATAGTAAGACTTGGTCATGACCTGGACGAAACATGGCTACATCTGCCATCAGAAAAAAAACTAAACTAAACAATTCTAAGTGCTATAGCTAGACACTATTTTGGTTTTTTCATGAATAGCATTCAGGGCAGTTTGTAGTTTTTTGGTCAGTTTAAGGTAACCTCTCAAAGGTTATAATGAAACCTCTACAGACCTCCCTCCGTATGAGCTCTCACTCTCTTTTAGAGGGCTAACTATGGCTGTCTCAGATAACGTTGTTTACAGTACATTTAACTGTTGTGTTAGTGCCAGAAAATAGAAGATTATTTCCACATCTCATGCTCACAATTTCACAGGTCTCATCGCTGAAATATTAGATACATCTACGAATAAATTCTCATTCCTATCAATTAACTAATAATAATCCAACTACTGATTTCTAGTCATAAACAAATGTCAAGATTATGAATATTTATCTTTTAATGTATATACTGTGCTCTAGAGGCAGGAACCACTATGGCTGTTTTTTTTTTCTTTCTTTTTTTTTTTTCTTGGCATCAAAAGACTTGTTCAGGATTCAGACCATGTCGCACTGATGCAACAGCCACATGTTCAACACTAACTGTGAGCGGATTCTTTTAAAAACAGTCGATGGAAGGGCCTAAGTGTGGGATATACAATATAGCAACAATCAAATTTGACTCTATGGGCGTTCCGGCATTCCCTAGAGGTGCATATTTCTGTGACTTCCAGTCTAGCAGAGGAATGTATTCTGTCACCCCTAGGGAATAGAGGAGCGATGTTTTGCGGAGTATGATGAGTTTCTGAATCTGAGAGGAAGTTAGGAGCTGTCACTGGCTGAGCGTTTTTTGCCAAAATGACTGGCGGAGTCTCTGTTTCGCAGATTAGGCTGGATCTTGTACATATGGGGACCCATGGACCAGCGCCAGCTCCCACGGCCCTCCACTCCAGTTGGGATGGCAGCAGCTGCAGCCGCAGCAGTGGATGGGCAGGGCTTGTTCTGCAGCAGCTGAATAAGCATGGTCATCTCTGGGCCCAGCCGCGACACCATGCTGGTCCGTATGCGGTCCACCGTGTCCTCGTCACAGTCCATCAGGCTCTGTAGCAGCTTACCGTAAAACCTAGGAGGACAAACAAAGCATCACAGACTTACTTTTCAACAGGACACAAATGTACAACAGTATATTCCAGTTATACCTTCTAACACTCAGTGGGTACTTGTCTGTATCTGCACAGTACTCTGTAGTCTGATGTCATGCAACTGGGAGTAACCTTCCCTTCTTCAGTCACTACTAAGCCATGTGCTCCACCCTCCTAGCCCCCTTTTGTATCCACTCCCAAACTGCAATCCTACATGAATTACAAGAATAATAGGAACAATAGCCTGCAAACTTGATATTCTTGTTTCATTTACTCTCATTGTACAGAAGAATGTAAGGAGCAGATGGTCACCAAATGGAAATCAATACAAATTCAGCCATCTGCTATGCTGCATAAATTGGAGTCCAAGAGATTTTTTGCAACATGCAAGTCATGTACAGTATATTTGTAATTTTTAGCTAGATTTAGACACAGGGACAAGAGTCCTCTTTGTCAGATGTACTCCCTTGTAAAGAACTAATGTGGTAAACCATTATTTCTACATCTTTTCTTTAAATAGGTTTAAATAGCCTGTCAAACATCTCTAACTTGAAATGAAAATTTGTACAACGTGTACTACAGTTCATAACTTTGAAAAGGCATACAGGAGCAGAAGAGCTCACCTATTTGGGAAGTGACTTGGAAGTTGTGCCACTTCGCCAATAGCATCTGGATTTGATCGAGCCACAGTGCAGATATCCAGCTTGCTGTAACACTCCTCTTGGACTTCGGATATCATTCTTTGGAAGGTGGAGCAGCGGCGGATGGTGGGGAATGCCTTCGAGGTGATGCCATTGGCAATGCACTTGAGGCTCTCCTTCACAAATGCTTTACCCTGTAAAAAAAAAAGAAACAGCAATGCTTCACACATTCTAACCCTGACAGTTACACCCATGAAACAGAGAGAATATAGTCTTTTTGATATGAATTACTGTGTGTACCTGAGTGTCAAATTTAGCAGCACTGTATAGGAAAGACTTGCAGATGTCATGCATGCCATCAGTGTCACAAGTCGAGTTTTCCAGGCAGGCGAAGGCTCCGCAGCCAACTTGGAGGGCACTGTTGAGACAGCGTGCCACATCTGCTGTGGGCACAGAGAATGGACCATCAGCAGGGGAGCCAACAGTAGCTTCACTGGGAATCACTGTACACTCACTGAGCTCATTACACAAGAGGTTGCCAGGGTTTCAGCTCAGAAATGTGGCCGACAAAAGAGAAGTTTCATACTTTGGTGATTCACAAAAGACATACAGTCACTCAGGTCAAACTTGACTGGAGATTGGACACCTTACAACTGGGAGTCTCACACACTATTTGGCAAAAGTGCAATTTTCTCTTGGCAAGGACCTTTGTTCCACTGTTTGGTTCTTTCCAGCAGAGCTTGGATGAACAGTACCAGAAATACCAAAGAGTTTCCTGAAAATTGTTGGCATGCCTGTCGACACACACAAAAATACATTTGTACCACTGGCATACAAACAGACACACATAAAAACACATGTTGGGATCAATTTCTTTTAAAAACTGTAACAGAAAGCTGAATTAAGAACCCTTCATTCAAACCACTTAAATATTCTATATATAGTTAAACCGAGCAAAATTCATAGTCCAGTTACATATCCAGAATTGATCCAATGAAGATACATGGATACACATACAGAAAAATCATATTCAATTTAGAATAACCACGTGACTTATTAGCCTGACCAATCTACAGGTAATACTCATTCCTATCTTTCTAAAAACCTATCAAGTATCCATGCTGCAACATCACAAATCCCCTCAGTCTATTTTTCAAAAGAAGAACATGACCATAACAAGTTCAGCTCAAAGAACATATAGTCCCTCTTAAAGGTTACACCAAAACAGAGCTATTAAACATAATCTGAAAATAAGTGAATACATAAAGTTGACTTCTCAAAATTCTTCATCCAAGAATCCACTGAAATGGCAAGCAGCCTGACTCCAAACCCCTTTGTAATAACCATTAAGAAATGTCACCGCAGAGCCTAAGCCTACTTGGCAGACTCCTGAATCTGGGGCCCCATGTTGACCTGCACAGTCAGATAAAGTCTGCTTGCCATCAGGGACCAGAGATTGTTCTCAAAATAAAGAGTGAGCTGCAATTCGTATGATGATGAAGCAATTCCTGCAGAAAGGTATTCAGCATCTCTTTTACACACTGCATTTTCTCACAGCGCTGTACCTCTGTATTAACAAAAACATTAGAACAAAACTGCAGATATGTGGTACGCAGTATGATTCCTTGTTGCTCACTATGAGGGATTTTGACAGTTATTTCTTTTTTTTTATGTACAGTATAAGAAACTAAAAGGATTACATTTGACAGCCTAAATTGTATCTTTTCAGAGGCATATTAAAAAAAAAAATCTGATGTATCCTACTTCTTTTTTTGACTTGAAGGCAACACAGGAAGGCTACCATAAGCTTTATCTTTTATGCACTAAAAGCTCCGCTCCAAGTCCACTGTAATTCTGAACAGAGGGATCTATGCAGCAGCCAAAGCCATGAGAAAGAGACTATCAGCATGACACAGCCTGCGCTCTCAGGTGTCAGCACCAAGCTCCATGCTCATCTGTTGCCGGCAGGACACCGGCAAAACCACAGCGTTAATCCTGCAACATTCTCCCTGAATCTAGCGCTCGTTTTCACAGAAATGGGTGCACAGGCCAAAAACATACATGTGTGGGGTAAAAATATCCACATTGTGAACGAGCAAATGTAGGTTTTTCTGTGCATTGTGGAAATGGTCTTTATAGAAAGCAAGCAGTGCACTCTGTGATTTATGCAAATGGAAGCGGCGTGTTACTTACTAGGGCTATTGGCAGAAAAGCGTGCTCTTCTTGGCGAATAAGACTCGTTCTGATCCAATTCATATGCAGATGCGTTTAGCACCATCAGGAGAAAAAGTCCGGTTCTCAAAGGCATCGTCCTTTCAACACAGATACAACTAAATGCAAAGAGACGGCTCCTGCTCTGTGTGTAATTCATAAGAATACTGCTCCAAAAGCTTCTGCAGCACAGGAAACAGAACAGATGTAGGATATTTCAAGCACGCTACAAGCTTACACTACACTGGACTCCTTACTATCCTTTTGACTTGCATGACAGCTAGAACCGATGTTAGGTCTGCATGGGTTTATATGGGAGCGCTGAACATTACGAGTTCTGCGTTTGGACCAATCAGAGCGCAGTATTCAAGCCCGTGGTCCCGGTCTTTCCACTACTAATTGATAAAATGATTTTACATCGGCCAACACTGTTGACCTTACAGCTAAACATGAATAGGCTACTGTTTATATTTTTTTCATTTAACTTAATAGTCTAATTCACTGATAGTCTATAACTAATACACACTATCACTAAACATCAGCCATACTTATATGCACTTCTTAAGAAATAACTTATTCAACCAATCCCCTATCTAGCAAATAATACAAACATTTTTTTTAAGTTATTATCTTACATGTGATTTGATTTTAAGATTGACTTGAAATAACTTTATTGTCGGACATGATCTGAAATTTGTCTTGCATCACAGCGGCTCCATTTGCAAACATCAACATTAAGACAAGATACAAAGGTTCAAACATTTGACACAACATTCAAAGACCAGACAATTATTCAGAGGCCTTAATTGATCTGGGATTCAGCTCTGCATTAAATTTTAGTATTGACTTGTCAACAAAAGAGTGTTACAGTCTGACCTTTTTAAAACTTGGGACCCTGTATCTCCAGTTTGATGTCAATAGTTCATATTCTGTGTTCAGAGCGGGGTTAGTTTCAGAGGCGAAGCTGTTAGCCAGCCATAACATGTTTTTATCATAGGCTGATTCATAAAGTCTTTGCATTGTTTAGAATACAATATTTGAACAGATGTTTAACTGTTAGAGCATTTTAGACTTTAAAGACAGACAAATAGACCATGAGGTATAGCAGCAATGTAGGACACATACAATCACTGAAGTAAAGAGCAAAAGTAGAATTTGTTGTCTCGCCCCAAAAGATCTCTGTCTGCGGAGGTAATAAATTCTTTGTTTTGTCTTTTTATAGATACAATCAATGTGAACTTTTCAGGACAACAGATGGTCAGTCATTACACCCAAATATTTATAAGATGACGCTTGCTTGATTGTTTCATTATGAATGAAAATAGTGGCTTTGTGAGCATCAGATAGTAAACTGAATACAATTTCCTCTGTTTTCTTTGTATGGCTCTCCAGAGGGTTGTTATCACCCCACTCAACCAGCGGGTTACTTAACAGAGAAATCAGAGCTGTTTCGTCAGAATACTTCAGAATGGATTATATAATTATCTTGTTCCCACAAGTTATTTTTTTGTGCACACAAGATATTAACCAAGATATTTTTTTCACTCTTTGGGACTTCAGGGGCTCCTTACCTATCACCACTTTATGTTCACTAATAAAGCTAGGTGATTCCCCACTTACATACAGTATGACATATCAACAGTAAGCCTCTAATTCTCAAAACATAGGTTTACATGCTTCAAAGTTTTCATAGGAGTTGTGTTAGGTTTTTGTGCGGCCATATTTACTTAAATAAGGAAGTGTAAACACTTTATTGGGGGACAAGGAACGGTTGCGGAATTGTGAAGGATGTGGATATTAGGAGAGGGAGGCTATTATTATTTTATTGATATATTAGATCTGTTTTTATTTCCGCCTTCCTTTCTCAGATTCACCATCAAATATTAGGGACAAATATCAAATCAGGTTTAGAATAAACTCTATTGGCTAGGTATGTGATCACATAATAAGAATTTGACTATGCTGTTATATTAATCCAAATGTAAAGAGAAAACATAGGCATGCACATTAAAACAATGGTTATTTATTAGGGTTGTATGTTCACAGAGGTTTGGTTCGTACCTCAGTTTTTGAGTTTAATTTCGGAACTATTATGGTGGATAAGTGATGGGATAGACGTTCGGGAGTCCGTACATGGTTTTTTATTTTTAAATTAAAGGATGCTCTATGCATTCCCTTGTATGACTTCAGTCCAGGCTTGGTCAATAATGGACTCGACACCATAGATTGTAAAATAAAACATGGAGGACATAGTCTCAGTGATGTCACACATTGGTTTGTGAAGTGGACTATTGAATCCCATCCATGGTGGTCGCCATATTGGAAATGCTGTCTCAAACTAGCTTTCAGTCAACTTATTAACAGGCCCAGAGGTGGAGCTGAGACGGGCTTTAAGCCTCCTGACAAACAGCTACAACGCGACCGCACATCAGTCAGATCAGCCACACCTGTTATTATGTATAACTCTTATCCTTCATAAAATCTAAATGGATGAGCTATAAAAACATTAACTACAATACAGTGTGTGCTAATTAAGAAACTTTGTCTGACAAAATTTGTTTGAACCAGGCTTTAACTCAGGCAAGAATCAGGAATCAGTGGACAAAGTGTCAGAGTCGGATGCTATAAAGTCAATTTTTGCTTGTATATTAACTCTGCAGTGTGTAGTTGAAACCATTCACAATTTTTAAAGCATAAAATGCAACATTCTGAAAATCAATACATCAAATATACTCTAGTAGGGGCACACTGGTGGCGCAATGGTTAGGGCGCGCGCCCCATGTATTGAGGCTGTCATCTCAAGCAGGCAGCCCAGGTTCACATCCCACCTGTGGCCTCCTTCCCACATGTCACTCCCTGCTCTCTCTCCCTGGTTTCTGACTCTATCCACTGTCCTATCTCTCCATTAAAGGCCCAAAAAGCCCAAAAATGAATCTTTAAAAAAATATACCCTAGTACACAAAATAGTGTGTAGTTGACTTCCTAAAAATCTAATTAAGTTAAACCCCCTCTGAATTTGTTGATCATGGCTCTGTGTTCGCACGGACGGGAGGGCGCTTTCTTTGGCTTGTTAATGTTTCACTCAGAAACTCAAATATGTTTCATACTTGTTTTACAAAGTGAGCCCCTCCCTCACCAACCATTGGCCATTCCACCACAACAAAATACTTTCTATGGCCTAAAAAGACAAAAATATAACAAGCAAATCTACTTTGAAATGCACATCATCACTTGAAAATTACAATCTTGTCTCCAAATGATTGACTTTGAGATGTGACGTGTCAGTCTGATGACTGTTCTATGTTTTGATCGGAAAATCTGCCCTAAAAGTTGTTTCGTAAGCCTTGAATGAAAGAACTGGAAAGAACATATTTGTCTATCAGAAATCACAATGAAGTAGTTTCTTCACTTTCATTGTGATCGCACTAATCGCACACATACACTCAAAGTTTGTGTGCCAGTCGCAGGATATAAACATCACTAAACCTTACTGCTCACTTATGGTGGTTTTCCCTGAATATTTCCTGCTATCACATCAGCTCACCCTGACCTCATGCAGAACATGTTACTATGGGGCTGTCAGGAAAAATTCTGGGTAAAGTTGGAATGGAAAATTTGACTGTTTGTGTTCACACACAGCTCACCAAGAAAATTTCAGGACTTTTTCAGAGGTTTTGTGCAAGTGTGAGAGCACCATAAGTATTTAATGACTCTTTCAAATGTTACAAATTCATGCTTTTTAGTGTGTAGTAAAAAAGTAAATTTAGTCATATAGCACCTTTCAAGAAAAGATGCCACAAAGTGCTTCACAATGAAGAATTGAAAATAGATAATACAAACCAACAGTCACATAAAATCAATTACAAACACTGTTGCTGCTAATTATGGACTACTTTACTTTTGTAGGCTCAGAATTGAGGACTAGCAGATTCTACATGCTAATGGAAGTCTCAGAACCCATCCGTGAACGCTTGATAATGACAACGCCTCTTCTTTTCTTTTTCAGGGCTTACAGTGTCACCAGCGGGTTGCTGTAAAGGACTTTCGCCTTCATGAGTCACCTGCAAACAGATTGGGTATTCCTGTTTGAAATCTATTAATGGAGATGATTCCGGTGGCAGCAATAGTTCTAATTTCAACAAGGAGGAGGCACAGTGATGTACGTCATGATGCTACACGAAGAAGAGGATCAAGAGGGGTAGAAAAAGACTGTCTGGACTACAAACATGAATACAGTAAGTATTTTTATTTTTTTATTGCATTTTTTTAAGATAACTTCATAAGAAGCCTGAGTGAAGTCACCCATCTGTTCCTGCAGTGGGCATTGGAGTCCCATCGATGGCTGTTGCCATGCTGGAAATGTCGTCTCACCCTAACTTTCAGTCAACCGAATGACAAGCTAAGAGCTGGAGCTGAGGTGGACCTTAAGCCTCTTGACAAACTTTTACACCGCCCCTGCCTGTCATTCAGGTTGGTTACTGTACGCACCTTTTGTAAATAAAGCTTATCCTTCATAAAATCAAAACAGACGAGTTACCAAGATATTCACCCCTGTACAGTATGTACATGAGCTTACTCGACAAAATTTCGTATTTTGAACCAGGCTGTAAACATATTCATTTCTGCTGTAAAAACAGGCTTTTTTGCATAGATTACGTATGGGACTTTTGGGGCTTTTGCAGCAAGCCTCAAGCAGACACTTGACAAACTGCAGGATTTTGCACTTCCAAAATTCCAAAAAATTGACATCATTTTTCAACACTGAAGGTTGCCGTTTGGGAATGATATGCACCACCATTCACAATTGTCACAATTGGTAGTCGAACCTACGATCACTGTGATGATGACTGTAGGCTTTGTACACGTGGCGCATGCTCTTCTAACAGAGCTGAAACGGCACCCCAATGCAGTATGTCTGCCTCTGTATGTCTGACATTAGCTCAAACTAGCAGGTTGCTGTTAGCTAGCAGGTGCTGTTAATCTATGTCTGTAGTTACGTAGTTATAGAAGTCGTTCAGATATTCAGACTGCAGTTTCAAAGTGAGATATCTAAGTCTGTGTGATGTTACGCCTTCAATCTAAATGTTGTGGAGGAGTTATAGGGGGGAAGAATTGATCCCCCCTACCATCTTCGGCATTACAGGGGCGAGACGGGATCAGCGGAGCCATCGGGGGAGTGCTGTGCTTGTGTGCATGTCTGACTCTATGCGGAGCTCCCACTGTGCTCTTCTCGTAGACTGTTGTTCTTAGATTTTGGTGGG